AATTACTTTTCTCCTGTGTATATGTGGGGAAAAAAAATCCATTTCCCCATCTCTGGGCATCCATTTAAAAAGATTCCATTCTTATCATATCTCCTGCAGAGCTAGGTGTGAGGAACCTGAACTGTAATGTTATTTTGGCCGTTGATCTGTTTATATCAATAAATAACTCTTTTCCCAGGTCCAAATATCTCCAATCTCTGGAGTATTTATATAAAAAGACTATAGCTATACATATGGTGTAACAACTCCCAGTTCTTGAACAAAGCAATCCTATCTTTATTGCTATTCTGAGGTTTGCTTTATAAACTCTTTTCTTTGATTCTTCAGAGCTCTGGCTCATTTAAAACATCGAGTCCTACTTGTTTTGAATAACCTGACTCACACATTTGTGTGAGATGGACTTCACTTAGAAGTCTAAATGGGTACATTTAATCTTTGGCCTATTGTATCCTTTTCTTCCTCTGAAGAGAGTGTTTGGAGAAGTAACCCTCCAGAAATCGAATATGCAAGATATAGTACTTCAAAAAATAGGCTGCTATAATTTCTTGTATTAGCTAGCATGATATTGTCATAATAAATTATAAATTTAACTCATTGTGACACTTCTTCAGTACCATGGTAGCAGTATCTCTGTTGAACCACTTTTTTGTCTTGCACCAGGCCATTTCCCCCTGACTTTCCTGCATCAGTATGGCCCTATCCATCTTGGGGTGGTCTACTATGTGTTCATCAACCTGTTTGTCTTTTTCTTTTCCTTTCAAATCTGGTGGGATAGATTAAAGATGTCCACATATTCTTTGACCCTTTTCCCATTAAGAGGTGATTTCCTTCCCTCTGAATCTGTGACTTCTTTGACCAATAGAATACAGCAGAAATGATTCTGCCCTAGTTGATGGACTAAAAGACCATCTTATTCCACTTCACATCTTAGGGAGCACTCACTCCTGAAGCCCTGAGCTACCATGGAAGCAGCCCAATAATTCTGCAGAAAAGATTACATGGAGAAGACAAGGAGACTGGCTAAGGCTAGCTCCAACTCTTCTTGTCATAATTGGATATGTTGAACGAAGCTTTCCTGAACCTTACTGACCAGTCCATCTTTCAGCTGAATAGACCTGAGTGACTTCAGTGGATATCACAGGATTTCCCACTGAATTCTGCCTGAATTTATGACCCCCAAGATTATCAGATACAACTAAATTGGCTATTGTTTTAAGCCAATAAAGGGAGAGGGCAGCAGCAGGTGGAGTCTATTACACTGCAATTGATAACCAGAATGAGCAGGTTTATTGATGTCCTCATTTCTTGTCAGTGCTCATCTTTACCATTCATAGTTTACCCTTGTTTTCTCTATGACAGCCTCATAGAATTTCATCATTTTTCCTAGATACTATTTATTATGAAAATGGTGGCTCAAGGAATCATATAGAAAATTAACTACTGGACAAATTGCTTAATATCCTAGACTATGAACTATAATCATGGTGTTTGGATATCTTCAGGATTTTGGTTTCTCCTTTACTTGGAAAGACAAAGTATCCAATCAGTATATTTTTTTAAAGCCCTAATCAACACTATCATTCCTTCTGCTGATGGAAATATGGGTATTAATAAGCTTCTTTTCCATGTATGATCGGTTAGAATTCATAAAATACAACATTGATTAATAAAAGAAACGAATCCAATACCCAATRATGAAATTAGTCCAAAATTTAAGGGGAAAATTACATTTTAAAAATATTCAAAGCACAATCAAGATTCAATTTCTATGCTTCTCTGAGAGATTAGAGAGGTGAAAAATCAAGAAATGAAGGTTTGAAATATGTTTGCATAGTTGTGCTATTTCAATTTTTCTTCTAAAATTTTAGAATTTTTCTTCCATCAAAGTTCAATTTTTTTAAAAAAAAACTGAATTTTACCCATATGTCATAGTCAACAAAAGTGATGCACCAATCCAGCAGTGGATAATGAACCCATCAGACCTAGGCCCCAGTTACTAGGCTGAAGAAAAATTCACATGATACAGCTACATAAATATTTTGAGCAAAATATAAATTGTAGGACTGGGGTTGTAGCTCAGTGGTAGAGTGCTCACCTAGCATGCATGAGGCAGTGGGTTCGATCCTCAGCACCACATAAAAAGTAAAATAAAGATATTGTGTCCACTTGAAACTAAAAATAAAAAATAAAATATTTAAATATATATATATATGTGTGTATATATATATATATATATTGTATTAGTTTTAATGTAAAAGAGAAATAAAAGGAAAGTAATTCATAACTAGGCATTTTAATGTTTAAGAACATGGGCTCAATATTCCAAAAAGAATAATGAAGAACCAGGTGCTTGCACAAATACACAATCACTATAATGGTGACATCCACAAATGATTTAGGTATGGTGTATTGGCAACTCAGATACCACAAGCATTGTTGCCATAGGTGATATGTTTTTTTCTGGAATGATGAAAAGCTGTTGGTAATTCAATGAGCCAAACAAAATAAAATCATCTTTTCATTTACATAGTTGTTACATTCTGATTCTGGAGATTCCATTGTATGCTAAATTCATTGTACATTCAAACCATTCAAAAACACTCTGTTTTTGTTAATGTTCTTCGGGATATTCAGGTCACATGGCTATGGAAAAATTCTCTGTCATGCAAGATTGTTCAACACCTGCACAACATCTAGCATCCCTGTTCCCTATATCACTATGATGACAAAAATTCCCTCCATGAATTATGGAAAAGATTCACAGAGTATAATTGCCAGATTAAATCCAGGATGCCTTGTTGAAATTTGATATCAGAGAAACAAATAATTTTTTGGTATGAATATGTCCCATGTAATATTTGATCTATATTTTCCCTAAAAATAAAATTTGTGTTTTTTAAAAAAAAATCATATTCAACTAGGAATCCTGTATTATTATTTGATAAATCTGGCAACTATATCTTTGAGGAGGTACCAGTTTCTTGAGAACCACTGCTCAGCAGACTATTCTCAAAACCTCAACCTGACTTCTAACATCCAGAATTGTGACCCCCCAGGGAATACTTGGGCATCTTCTGAGAAAAAAACTGACACCACAGTATGAGGGTTAGCTTTACTTTTGTGTCATCCATATGCAGAAATTTGGGGCTGGGGAAATAGCTCAGTTGGTAGAGTGCTTGCTTAGCATGTACCCGTCCCTGGGTTCAATCTCCAGCACTCCCAAAAAGAAAAAAAGAAAAAAGAAATATGCAGAAATTCTCTAATACTGGAAACTGTTCTCTAGAACAGTCCAGACTTTCCTATGGCATTGCATTTACTTGTCATTGAATCAGTTCTGTATCCTAATTTTAATTTAATAGGAGTCACAAAGGAAGGGACCAAAGGCCATTTTTTTCTAATAAGAAACCATTTAAAAATTTTTCTTTGTAAGAAGAAAGGAACAGTAAGCTGTTTATTGATTTTCATGTTGGTGTGCCTTCTCTCTGAAGATAATGAAGATAAATAGAGAAATAGCATAACTTTTTATTGCATCTCTTGCTGCACATATATCTTCTGAATACCAAAGAGACTTGGATGATATGAAATATAGGGGGGCAGGGAAAAGAGAAATATGGCATAACTTTCTATGCCTGTGTCTCCTACATAAATGGGAGATTTCCTGAGAAAACATAATTCTTTTATGTCTCGCCAAAGTGCCTACACACTATCTTATAATGATAGAAATCAGTTCTTTGGAATATAATTGAAAGAATCAAAAGCACCAGAATAAAGTAGATTTTATATTAAACAACATCATGCTATGCATGAGCCAGAAATAAGGCCTAAAAGTATTTTGGAGTAAACTTTTATCAATTTTATAAATGAGGAAAATAATAAGATCCAAAGTGTTCTTAGCTTCTTTGAATAATACGTTGGAGCTAGAAGGCAGGCCTCCTGAAAACGACTCCAGATTTCATTTCATTTCCCAAAATCTGATTTTCACAAGAATGACTTTATGAGCTGTTCTAGGAACAAAAATGTTTTTTGGTCAAATAAGACTGTAAGTTGTTGTATACCATCCTTCCCTACCCCAGTGTGTACAATTTACATTATCCTATTAATTTTTTTGAAAAGTCCTTCAGTAAACAAATTTATTTCACTGTGACTAGCTCATCATTTCCCAAACACATTTGATCCTGGAGTTCTGCCAATATGGTGATTTAAAATTTAAGAAATAATATTCTGTGCTACTCCAGAAGACGGGTTAGAGATATATAAAAATGACAATAGATTTGGCAAGCAGGGACCAAGGTCTCTGTGGTAAATGGACTGTACTCTATTGGTTCCCAAATACTGGCCTGTGAGTACTGCTGCATCAAAATTAACGGAGGAAGAGATGGGCCCATGGTGTGGGCCTATAATCTGAGCAATTTGGAAAGCTGAGGCAAGAGGATCACAAGTTCGAGGACAGCCTGGACATCTTAGTGAGACCCTGTCTCAAAATAAAACATAAAATGAGCTGGGGATGTAGCTCAGTGGTAGAGTGCCAGGGTTTCAATTCCCAGTACTGGGTGGGGGGAGGGGTTGAGCAGGGATTCTCCAGAGGATCATACAGATGGATATGTGGATATTTAAAACTTCATATTTACCAAAATGCAGATTCTAGATCTGTTTGGCGTTCAGGAATTTGTATTTGTAAAGTTCTATAAAACTGAAAGCTACTGCCCTTCCACAACTTATACTCTGGAAAAGAGTGTAAGTTGCCTGATATATATCAATGATGTTTCAAGAAGAATCTATAACTTGTACTGCCTTAGACTTGAACTTCCTATGATCCTAGTCTTTGAGGAACTTGCTGTGGAGACACTTGCATATATGTAACAATTAGGGGAAAATAAAAAGTGATTTAAAATCAACTGCAGGTTTTTATGCTATAGAAGAGGCAGGCAACTATATGTTTACAAAGAAAGACATTTCATGGAGTCTTTGGGATTGATGTGGCAGGCTTGACTTTTTTTTTTTTAAATATATTATGCTTCATGAATTTGCGTGTCATCCTTGAGCAGAGGCCATGCTAATCTTCTCTGTATCATTCCAATTTTAATATATGTGCTGTCAAAGTGAGCACCAGGCTTGACTTTTGACATATGAAGAGATAATGTTGAATTACACAATGATACTGGTTGAATTAAGTCCCCTTCAAATTCATATGCTACAGGACTGGGGTTGTGGCTCAGTGGTAGAGCGCTTACCTAACATGTGTAGGGCACTAGGTTCCACCCTCAGCACTGCATAAAAATAAATAAACAAAATAAAGACATTGTGTTCATCTACAACCAAAAAAAAAATTATATGCTGCCCCCAATACCTCTGAATGTGACCTTTTTGGAATAGGGTCAATGCAGATATAATTGATTAAGAAGAGGTCATTTAATCAAATGTAACTGGTATTGTAAAAAGGGAAAATGTGAACATAGACATGTAAACAAACATGCACTCAGATAGAAAGTCATGTGAAGATGAAGGCAGAGATTGAGATGACACTTCTACAAACCAAGGAATACCGAAGATTGCCAGCAATCAGAAGCTGGGAGACAGGTATGGATTGAACTCTCCCTTATAATCTTCAGAAGGAACCAGCTCTGTACATACCTTAATCTTGGACTTCTAGCCTCCAGATTTGTGAGACATAAAATTTCTGTTGTGTAAGCCACGTACCTGTGGTACTTTATTTTGATACTCCTAGAAAATTAATATATATGCATAACCAGAAGTTAACCCTAAGTCATGAAGTTTTCTTCCTGTTTTTCTGTCTCTACCTCCCTCAGAGTTACCCAATCTCTGATGTATTTAAAACCTCTACCTCCATACCCCTTCAACAGCAGCCATTCATGGATAAGTCAGGAAAGTTGCTAGTAATGATAATAAGATGTTCCTCTTCCTCTAGAGTTCCCTGGTAGTACTATAAAAGCATGCATGGTCTTCAGATTTCTTCCTCCTCTTCCTCCTCCCCCTCCTACTCCTCTCTCTCCTCCTTCTTCTCCTCCTCCTCCCCTCCTTCTACTCCTTCTCCTATCCCTCCTTCCTCCTCCTCCTCCTCCCCCTCCTCCTACTCTTTCTCTTCCCCCTCCTCCTCCTCCTTCTTTTTCCTACTACTACTACTACTACTACTACTACTACTACTACTATTACTATTTATCATCATTACTACTAATAGGAATAAAGAAACTGTATTCATATCTACAATTAAACGATTAGGGATCATTTTTAAAAATTTTGTAGTTGTAGATGGACAGAATGCCTTTAGTTTGTTTATTTTTATGTGGTGATGATGCATGCTAGGCAAGAACTATGCCTCTGAGCTACAGCCCCAGCCATTAGGGATCATTTTTATATTACTATTTTTTTTCATGAGCACACTTAGAAGTTGAGCTAAGGGTATGAGAAAAGCACATAATTTCAGTGACACAGATATCAAATTACTAAGTACAGTCATATATTACCTAACAATGGGTTTACGTTCTGAGAGATGTGTAGTTAGGCAATTTTGTTGTTTTGTGAACACAATAGAGTACATCTGCACAAAACTAGGTGGTGTAGGTCAAAATTCAGGGCAGACTTTTGATGCAATCAGGAGACAGGTAAGAACAAGATGTATAATGCTACTGTCTGCATAACATAGCATACTGTCTTACAGAAAACATCTTTTTAAATAAGTAAATTTCATTCTGAAATAATTGAAGGTATATTAAATATACAAACCAGTAACATAGTTATTTGTTATCATCATCAAATATGTACTATACACAATTGTATTGTACTTTAATATGTCTGGCAGTGCAGTAGGCTTGTTTTCTCCAGCATCATCACAAACATATGAATAATATGTTGTGCTACATCATATAACACCCACAACTCACTGAGCACTAGTAATTTTCATCTCTACTATAATCTTATGGGACCATCATCATATACAAAGTCCATTGTTGACCAAAATGTTGTTATGCAGTGCTTGAGTGTAATACAGAAACTAATTCTGAAATCCAGTTCCCTTGACATTCAGTCTAACATAAGACAAGTCTAATGATTATAGTAGATGCTTTTGGGGCTGCCCCATAGAAACTCTCGTCACTTACCATATCAGCACACATAAACAGGGTTCTTCTTCAAGGATCTTACATGAAACTCTTTGCCTGAATGCCTTCTCTCAGCCAACCAAGGGACAGGTTGGAAATGTGCAGTTAATGCCCCTGGGAATAGCCTTCAGTCAATGACAGATGTGAGTCTAATGAAAAGATATCCTGTCTTACTAATCTCACAGATAGAATAATTCTTGGGATAGGGGTTGGGCACCATTTGCCTGCTGTAGCAACTGTTATCCCCTCTTTTGTGGGGAGATACTGGGGATTGAACTCAGGGATACTCGGCCACTGAGCCACATCCCCAGCCCTATTTTTTTTTTTATTATTTAGAGACAGGATCTCACTGAGCTACTAAGCACCTCACTGTTGCTGAAGCTGGCTTTGAACTCACAATTCTCCTGTCTCAGTTGGGATTATAGGCGTGAGCCACTGCGCCTAGTTTGTTATCCTCTTTTTCTTTCTTTCCCTTCACACATGTAAGACCCTTGAAGAAGAGTTTCATGTAAGACCCTTAAAGAAGAGTTTCATGTAAGACCCTTGAAGAAGAACCCTGTTTATGTGTGCTAGTATGATAAGTGATGAGAGTTTTTATGGGATGGCCCCAAAACATAACTTCATTGTGTGCTCAATTTTCTGTCTCAGGATCTGTTTCTAGGAAACCTAAGCTAAGAAAATGATATAATAGTACAATTTACTCAGTTAATTTTTAACCTCTAGTTCTAGGCACTGACCAATTTTAGTTGATAAATCCCTCAACACAGACCAAAGCACTTTTATTTCATAGACAAAATGCTACCACCAGGCTGTACACAAAAGTTCTATTTCTCCTTCTTCCAGTGTTACTGGAATCCAGATAGTAGGGTCCAGAGGCAGTAGAAACAAAACTGGGCCCAGAAAGAATTTAAGCATAGGTAAGGCTTTATTGAGGGGGTTCCTGCTTCAGCATGAAGAGAGCACTGACTAAGAGTGTCAGGTGGCTCAAAGCAAAGGACAAAGTATACAGCTTTTATGGCATCTACTATATAGGCAGGGTCCCAGTCTCTTGATGTCATCAAAAGCACCTGTGCTTTTCTGCATTATGCTCTTCGTGGTTGCATGTCTTGTTACATTTTAAATCTCCACCTGAGATTTTACTAGGTTAATAAGGTAAAGGTAACTGCAGATTACTTTAATGACTATTCTACATATGCTCTGCCCCTCATCATCTGGAATTTGTCCCTTACCATCTGGGAGAATCCCCATGTTATTTTCAGAACAGGGTAGACAATAGTCCTGTCTCGGTGGGTTTGGTGGCAGTGACTTTGTCTGTTTGGTTTGGGGCCCTTTTTAAAAGTGTTTCTGCTGACCACAAAGTCATAAAAACTGAGCTGACTTCCCAGCATTCTGTTTTAATTTATAGCCTTAGAGAGTAGTCTTATTTATTTAATTCCTAAGTTTGTAATATGTTTGAGAGTTACTTTGATTCCTTTTGGAGAGATTTTATTCTCTTAATCTTTTTCTTTCTTTCTTTTTTTTTTTTTTTTCTGGTACTAAGGATTAAACCCAGTGCCTTGTGCATGTGAGGCAAACACTCTAGCAACTGTGCTATATCCCCAGCTATTCCTTTAATCTTAAAGGGTGCTGCTTCAGTTGTCACCTCTCCTGCCTCCTCAAACAGGATTGGTTTGCCATATGGCCATGTGACTTGGTATGGCCATTGAAATGTAAGTGATGTGTCTTTAGGTACCAGTGCATGTTTCCTCCTATCCAGTTTTTTCTGTATTGGTGGGTGGTAGATAGATTCTCTGATGACCCCAATTAACCATGCTTCCTGGAATTCATATCTATGTGGATCCCCTTGCTCTTGAGTGTGGGCTGGTATAGGAACATGCCACAAACCAAAAGAATATGGCAAGGCAATGAGATGCTACTTCCATTATTATACTACATAAGACTGCAAATCCTGCCTTGCTAGCACATTATTTCTCTGTAAGAGATTGAAATCTGTCAACATCCCCATGACTTGGAAGTAGATCCTTCCCAGTAAAACCTTCAGATGAGATGTCCAGACTTGGTGAACACTTTGCTAGCAGCCTTCTTAAGAGACCCTGAAACCGAGGACCCAGCTAAGCCATGACTGGATTTTTTACCCACAGAACCTGTGACATACTAAGATTGTGTTGTTTTAAGTTGCTAAATTGGTGGTAGTTGGGTATACAATAAAGGRAAATTAGTTGGCAGTACAGCAATAGAGCTTCCCTCAGGCTAGATTCCAGCTGACCCAATGGACATGTAGTATGAGAGCAAAATAAAGTTTTTGTAATTAAAGACATTGTGATTTTGGAGTGTTACTGAAGCTTAATCTATTCTGATTAACTTTTATGGGTAAAGTCTTTTGTTGTCCCCATCTGCTACCATGTTATTGATAAGAATCTCAGTAAGACAAAGATTGCAATGTGTGATTGCATAAATGGTGTGGCTCTACTTTGTGTACAACCAGAGAAGTGAAAAATTGTGCTCCATTTGTGTACAGTGAATCGAAGAGCATTCTGCTGTCATGTATAACTGATTAGAACAAATTAAAAAAGAAAAATCTCAGTAAAGATGGTCACCTGTAGTTATGAAGAGATCACAATTTTGTATGGAACCAAACTTTGGTTTAAAAATTTTACCTCCCAAATTAATATTCAGCTATAATAATCTTTATGCCTTTCTCAACTTCTTTCAGTTTCAAAACTTGACTTCATCAAAGTTAAGACCTATTCAAATCCTATCTTTGAAATGCAAATAGTACTAATATCATGCCAAATTTCAGAGTAGTTATTTCAAAATCTAAAACAGCTAGTTCTATCCTTGTTGAAAATAACAACAGCGTCCCTTTCTGTTGGGTGATTTGCCTTTCTGACATTTTGCGTTTAGCAGGAGGTTAATTAGACACAATCGCAAAGCTGCTGTGTTGCCCCAGGGCACAACACAATGGGCCAATTTGGAGACACTGTATCTTAGA